CGGAGGCTCCAGTTGCCAAGCGTGGGAGGAAAGCTGCTGGTCGGGCTGGTGTTGGAGCAAAGACCAGAGGAAGGAAGGCGGCTCAGGAGGAAGCATTGGAAGATGATGAAGGAAGTGGTTCACCATCAAGTCCTCTGCAAGTGAAATCTGTTGAGGATGCAAAGGAGAGCAAAAAGTCAGTGGCTCCGGTTGCAAAGCGTGGGAAGAAAGCTGCGGTTCAAGGTGGTGTTGCAGCGAGGACCCGAGGGAGGAAGGCACAGGAGGAGGAAGCATTGGGTGATGATGAAGGAAATGTTTCACCTTCAAGTCCTCTGCATGTGAAAACCGACGATGATTTTGAATGATTGGTTGCATTGGTGGTGGGAATGTGGAGCTTACAAGTGTTTTTGGTGAAGGTTGTTTTTGAGAATTCTAGTAGCGTACACAGTTTATGGATCAAGTTGAAGGTTCTTTTTGGGAGAACCAGCATAGCATACAAACTTTTTTTGTAAGGCTCAAATGTCTAAAGTCTGCTTGCTTAGATTATGACAGTTCTTATGTACTTAATGCCAAAACAAAACAATGGCTGATGTAGCTCATGGATCAATGTTGTAAGGTTTCGTAATTATGAAAGTTCTTATGCTATCTATTTATAAATGAGTCTTGATTTTTGTTGTTATTTCAAGCTTCGGCCCACCAATTATAGCACCTATAAAAAAAATTGATGTTTTTTTTTTTTTTTTCCCCTCTTTGATTAGGGGAGTAGGAAGAAGATTTGAATTTAGGATTTGTTCCAGTGTTTTGATATTGGAAAAGACCTACAAGTAGACTAAAAGCTAATAAGTAAGTTCTGTCTTATTGTAGTAATAAGTAATTAAGCATACTTGACTAATAGACTGATTAAAATGAAATTTCGCCTCTTGTTTTTCGTTCTCTTCATCGAAAATTACTCGTTTATAAAATTACCCAACTACTTGTGCTCATGGATGGAGATGCTAAATTTGTAGTATGAAGAGGATCACAATATACCTATCAAAAACAATATTACGAAGTTCAATTTTTTTGGGGGGGTAAGATTTTAACTTAAAATAAAAATTATCTTGTTAAAGGAATAAAAATATTAAAAGTATTTCTGAAGCTCTAGATTTTTTAAGATTGACTTGGATTCCAATTTAAAAACCCAACCCGGTGTTTAAGGCCCAATAAGGCCCAATTGAGTTGCAGTTGTCCTTTGCTTCTTTCTCACTCAATGCCAACAACCTTTCTCGGTTTCTGTAAAACCCCTCTCCGTGTCTAAAACCCTAAACCCCTTCTTGCTTCAACCACAACCCAGACCTGTCATAACCAAATTCGTTCTGTAAGTCTCTCTCTCTCTCTCTCTCTCTCTCTCTCTCTCTATCAATCTCTGTGTGTAATTGATGTACTTATATCGGGCAATTTCTCTGCTTTTTTTTTTTGGGGTTCATCTAAAAAATAATTGCCTCTTTTCTCTAGCAATTCTTCGGACCTTTGCGCATAATGTTTTTCCTTAAAGATAAATTCTTCAGATAACACTAGACGTCTCTTGCTTGAGTTATTTTGTAACCAGTAACTGTATGAAAACTGTTCAACCAGAATTCTCATACTGATGATGAACAATGTGGAATGATGGTTTTCAATTCATGGGTGTTTTTGGTTCTGTTAAATTTGGTTTCTTGATGCAAGGTTTGATGTCATAAAGTATTGGGATGTTGCCATCTGAGGATGGTGGCTTGGCCCTAATGCTAGAATTGTTTTGTATTTCTGTTTCTATTATCTAATAGTTAGTCACACCCTGAAAGGCACTGAGAGAGAATTGTAATTTGATTACAACAATATCTTACACATCCATTGTGCTGTTGTAGGTTTCTTGGATCCTGACGGAATTGCCGTATTACTATATTTCTGGGTTTTATTCGCGTCTTCGTTGGTGATGGTATGTCTGCTGAATGATACTTGTCTCATAGATTTATTAGTTTCTTCTTCACAGGCCATCATTCGTAGTTTTTTTCTGCTTACCTTTTAACCTGTTAATTGTAAATAAGTTTCCGTTGTTGACCCTTTATGGGACAGTTGCTAGTTTTTTTTTCTTTGAATTTTTCCCCTGAACAAGCTGTCACAGGCCATCATTCGTAGTTTTTTTCTGCTTACCTTTTAACCTGTTAATTGTAAATAAGTTTCCGTTGTTGACCCTTTATGAGACAGTTGCTAGTTTTTTTTTTCTTTGAATTTTTCCCCTGAACAAGCTGCCCATTTAATATACATACAAGACCTTTGACATCCATGATCCATCTACAAGAAACATCTAATGATATATCTAATTAGCATTCCAAAACTTCTGAAAATAAAGAACATCTTTGGAAACAATAGCCTGCTAGTCCACCTGAATAAAGAAGAAAGGTTTATGCCAGAATTTAGAGGAAACCGAAACCCACAATGATGCCCAAGCGCGAACTTTACCCCACTATAATCTCAGTAATCTTTTTATTTTGTTCCATCTACACCACCCGGAAGACAACTGACACCCTACAATTCAACGAGATTTTCACTTAAGCCGTTCTTTGTGTATACAGGCTGCCAAAATTCTTGCCAATGTGATTGTATTGGGCTCGGCAGTGTTGGGTAGGGCTTTCGTCCAAGCATACCGTCAGGCACTCTCAAGTATGTGTTCTTGCAATCCTAAATTCAGAGAAAGATAGTTTCTCATGAACTCTTATAAGTTACAGAACACACATGCTCTGTGTAGTTCATCCTTAGATTTCTTGCTGCTTTGTTGTCACAGGTATACTTACCACCTGTAGTTTAAGATAGTTTCTTTATGGTATCACTGAATGCAGATGCTTCAAAGTCTGGTGTTGCTCGGGAAGCAGTACAGAATATCAGAAGAGCAAGCAAAACTATGGCTGAACCAGAGGCAAGGCAGGTTCTAGGTGTCACAGAGCATGCATCATGGGAGGAAATCTCGCAGGTTTGCTTTTATTCATATATTTTTGAACTCCGTTGTTTTCCCTGCATCTAAATGTTAGCGTCAAATCTTCTGAGAGAAATGTTAGTCATTTCATTCTTGAAACAAATTCCCTTATTGTAGAGGTACGACAGCTTGTTCAAGCAGAATGCCACAAACGGAAGCTTTTATCTTCAGTCAAAGGTCCATAGAGCTAAAGAATGCTTAGAAGGCGCTTATGCGAAGAAGGCTCAGGGGACAATGGATGCATAACTTGTAGGGTCATAATATATAATATGTTTCGCTTCTGTTAACATTCTTCTCGGCATTCAGTGTTCGCACGGCTGCTGTATTTGTTCGATCTCCACGAGTATTTCCCCGCTTACTGTACCTATTGTTCCTTTGTGATTATGTTGGCATATTCTGGTATTGGTGGAAATATATACCTTTCACTGTTATGGGGATCCTTTGTCTCATGGTTTTTATGTGCCCGATTATTTTAGCTCAAATAAATTTAGTTGATCAAGTCCTAACGCTACCAAGAACTGCATTATATTATGCAAATTGTTCACATATCAAAACATGCTCTTATGAAAAATTGCATTGAATAAACAACAAAATTTCCATCATGAGCACGCTCTCCATGATGGATAGTAGCTGGGCTAAACTGTCGTGGCCCAAGTCCGGTCCGGCCCAACACTAAGTCCGGTCTGGAAAAAAGTACAAACCCAATAATTTTGGGCTGGTCTGACCTGGCCCGGTCCACGGACGACCCTTATCTTATTTGTCAAGGAAGTGGACCACCTGCACGAGAGCGATCACTTGTAGTTGAAGTGAATGTGATTCTGTGACAGCCGAAAGGTTTGAAAATTGGAGCCGACAAAAGAAGTTCAAGTCGTCTATGAAATGAAGGCCAGAAGAAGCGTTGGCCAATAGTCAACAGTTGATCCAACCAATATGGCCACCCACTTACCAGTCATCTCTGATTTACACAAGTCAACCCCCAGCGTGGAGACTGGAACTCAAGTCAACCCCGAGCCGATTTCTTTTCTTTTTGGCTCCAACCAATGTTGCCGCCCACTTGCCCAGTCATCTCTCTCTCAATGAATGATATTGTTATGTCATATTATATACCATTGGAATATCATAGAAGCAATGTCCATTTACATGGTGCCGGTCGTATCCATGATTCATGAAACTTAGTTGTAACTGTCCCATTCATGCGTTTGATATTTGTGCATGTCTTAAAAGTTGAACAATGACCCATTTCGTGGACTAAACGGGCCTAAAAGTAAAAAGAAGAGATAATGGTATGTGAGAGTTGAAACACACATTTAACAATTAAGTGTTGGCCTGCTCATTTTTTGTTATACTTTTCTGGTTTTTAGTTCAGAAAAGGAAAAAGAAAGAGGGAGACTCGATTGTCGTGAGTGTAATATGTCGTTGATAAACTAGTTACTATGAAATGTTACCCCGTAAATCTAATGTATAGTAAAAGAGCGAAAGATGTGGGAGTGAAGAATGTGATCTTATTCTTTAATGCTATATGTTAAAGAATATATTATCATGTTCATATGCTGTCAGATTGTGTATGAGTGCAAGGCAGAAAAACGCGTGAGATCAATCATGCCAAAGCGAAGCCTCCTTATAGTTGTCGTGTTTAAACTCCAAAATCTTGTCACCCACTGCCGAATTCGATGACCATCTTATGAGAGTCCACACCAAGCTAGCCTACATATTATTAATTCATTTCAAACCTATACCTTCTTCTTTCCAGAAATCAAATCATTCCCGTTTGGTTTCTGGGTACGTCTTGCTGATATACAAACTCGTGATATTCGACAACTTAATTACGTTCACTTTTGTATATATGCACCACGACATGGGCTTACCATGCATCTGCTAACATGAATCTGCTGGTGCCATGCATGAACATGACCCATGACCCATGACCCACATCTCTCAAGGTACCTCTTCAGCTTTCTTATTTATATGGTTAATAGCTTAATGAAACTTGGTTTTTATCATGAAGACATTTCTGTCAAATTAACCTTCATCATTCCAACTTTTTGATGTAGTCTAAACTTGAGTAGATAGCAGAAAGGGTTAAAATCCCGAAAGAAATTAACGAAAATAAAGGAAAAGGAAAACACACACATCAAAATTATAACTACCTGAGTTCACACAGGTTTTGCTCTCCTCATCATTATCATCTTGAGTGACTGCCTTCAAAGTCTTTCCTATATTTATTAGGAAGATCTGAACTCGAACGAGAAGAACCAAACTGCATTCTTTGGAGCTCTTCTTGTTGAGATGGCATGGAAGATGATGTAGAAGATGTGGTTGGTAAGATTTGCGGTCCGTAATTCTCATGAGATGGCAGCACTTGAACATTATAATCTACGTTGTTACTTCCGCCTTGAACATATGGTGCATAACAAAAAACATTGGAATATGTCGGTTGAGAAATAGGCTGATGAGGAGGATTGGGAACCACAGGGTCTGTAACTTGAACTCTTTCAACATTTTCCGGATTGTTCAAGTTGTGTTGTTGTTGAGTGGTAATTGTGAGGTTGCCCAATTCTGAGCTCGCTTGAACTCTTTCCGGGAAGTTAAGCTTAGCCTTGCTTCCCTTGAAGCTGAGAGCTGCTTTATCATAGGCAAGTGCAGCAGCCTCAGCCGTGTCGTAAGTGCCCAGCCACAACCGGACTGCCTTGTTCGGATCACGAATCTCAGCCGCCCACTTTCCCCACTTTCTCTGCCTCACTCCTCTATAGCGTTGTCTCCTCACATTCCCTAATAAGGAAAGCATTGGTTAGAATACAAGAATAAAGATATTAATTTCTGAAAAAGAAGCAAAAACACCAGTTGTATATTGAAATTGATCAACATATATATAGTTTCCATTGAGGGATCCATTCCTCAAATAACTTATTTGAGGGACATCCTCGTAGACCCCACTCTATATTATAGATATGCATTCAAAGATATCTCTACAAAAAATCAATTGAATACGATATCATTTGGCAACTAAATTAAATTATTGAAATTTTAGTACTTTCTTGAATCACCGTGTCCGGATGTTCGTATGTTATTATCCTGCGGATGCTATTGTAAACAAGAAAGCAATGACGGGTAATAAAAAATACATGACATAGGATAATATATATACATATATATTATATTTCAAATTAGGAAGAACAAATTGAAGCAATATTATATTAATTTGGAGAAATGAATGCAAGATTGATAACATATAATAAAAGGGTTGGAAGAAAACCATATGATTGGAACAGAAGGAGGAATAAAAAAGAAAAAAGAATACATGGCCAACAGCATATAACAATACCTTGATCTTGCAGTGCTGGTTGAGATTGGCTTTCTGCAGGGCTGGATTGTGAGGTGATGAATGGATTTCCTTGCACTTGTTGAAGTGGGGTTTGGTCAGTATTTCCAATTACCTGAGCTAGAGCTGAAATCATAACAGATGTGTCTTGTTGAGATCGAGATGAGTAAACAGGGAAGATTTGATCTTCCTCTTTCGCCTCCGATTCATCGGAAGGAAGAGGCCTCTTCCCATGTTTTCGATCCACTTTATGAAACTGGCTATTGATATATTGATAAAATATTATGTATATATTGCTAAAATCACCAGCAGGAGCAGCTGATGATAAATATTTGTTCTAGCTTTGATACATGAATTAAATGATATGGCTGACAACGCAACACACCAGAGCAGTACAATAAATATTGGTCAAGATCAAGAAGACCAGAAAAGGAAATAAAGAAAGAAAGAGATGGGAGGACAAGATATGAGAGGAGGAGGAAGAGAGGCGGGAGATAGGGTTTGCTACAGGAATCTTTATACTTGTATATATATATATATATATTTCGTCTTTCGTGGTGTGAACGTTTGAAGAAACCATCCTCCAACATTCCAACCTTTTATTTTAAAATTAATTTAGTTCAATTATTATTTATTATTACTATTCTACACCTTTTTTTGTTTTCCAAGATTACTATTCTACACTTGGATGCACACGATGCAAATATGCAAATTGGCAAGTTGGACTTCCTTGGAGGTCAACCCTATTCAATTTGATACTAGTCATTCAACTCCCCTTTGCAGATAACCAAACCTCTTTCATGGACATTATGGAGAAATCCTTTTTGAAGGAGATACATTAGTTATTTTTATATATGAAAAATTTAAATTTGAATCTTCCAAAAGTGGAACAAGTCTTAAAGGTGCGTTCAATTGATTCAATATCGATGAACCTAGAAAAGAGAGTTGAGGGTTGCAATGAGTGTATAACAAGAATTCTTGGAATGAATAATCTACATAAACTTGTCTCAACAATAACAATGAATTACAACCTTCTACATAAACTAAATTGACAAAATACATAAAGATCAAGATTTACCTAGTGATGAAGCCATCCTTTGGAGCAACACCTTTGAATATGAGAAATTTGATATAAAGGTTTAGAGACAATTTATGATCGATTGCTTTGATACCATGTTAAAATATGAATATGGAGTTATATATAGGAGTTTACATGAATGCTTTACAAGAAAATAGATAGGGTAATCAATTAGGATAGTATATTGCTAGAAATAGATACAATAATCAATTAGGATACAGTAATCAATTAGGATAGTAATTAATTAGATATAGTAATCAATTAGGATAGTATCTTGTTAGAAATTCAAAAACAATACACATCTAAACAAACAGACAGTTACCAACATCCTATATCCTTTTGTAAATAGGAAATTGAAAAACAAGATAGAGATTAACAACCAATAATTAAGTCTAGAAGGTTTCTACAAAAGCTTACCAGCCTCGGCTGATTCCGACTACATGCTCCTTTGCATATATAGTGAATCACAGACGTCCATTTGCCCGACCTTGCAAAATGCCTCACTCTGTATTTTTGTCTCCTTCTCACATATTCCCTGGGTCACACAGAACACAAATGTATGCATATGAAAAAGTTCTTTTTTTCATTTTAGAAAGTTCATGAGGAAAGCATTTAGTTAGGGTGCAATAAAAAATTAACATATTTCTGAAAAGAGATCCCAAAGATGACAAATCAATATAGATTTGGCACTGGAATGTGTCTGTTTATTTATCTTTATTGGGCTCTGGCTTTGTTGACGTTGATCAGGGTGGGCTTGAGATTGGTTTGTGATATTTATGGCTATTTAGGACTTTATGTAAACTCTAACCCATAAAGGATTCTACGCTAATACATAATTTAAAGTTCAAATCATTACACCAACGAGATCTAGCCCAATAAAAAATGATCTTTACTTGCATACTAGAGGTCTCCCACACCATATTAGTTGTGTGTATGTGTAAGAAATTAGTTTAGACTATCGCTTGTACGAAAAAAAAATTTCCAAACCGTTATAGATATAATTAAGTATAGAAAAGTTGAGAGTTGGAACGGTCAATCCATTATATCGCTATGGGCTTTATACATTATTTTTTTGGGTATAAAATCCAAACGGACTGATGAACTCTCAACCTAGCAATTATCGCAATGAATTTGATGTTCACAAAAATATAATGAGTTACAATAGTAATAGCATACTTCCAGTCAACTTCAAAATTAATCTTGTATCCAAAGAAAGAAGGGTTTAGAATGGTTTACGAGATTTTTCTGGTCAAAAAGACGAAAAGACCAATTAAAAACAGAAAAAGAAACTCAACAACCAAAATAGCAAGTAAAGCTGGAAAAGGACTGGAACCGTAAAGGTTGACAAATGGAGCCGAAAGACAGAGAGCATCGTCAAAGAGAAGCCGTCCAGAGAAGCCGCCGAAACACCAGCTCTTTAAGTCATGAATTAATTGAATGGATCGATCAAAGTCGTGAGTGGGACATACTGAGTCAATTCCGCCGATTTCAGATGGTTCTATTTTGTATGTATTGGATATATAAGCGTAAGATAGGTTAGTTGGGCTCTTCACTTTACATTCAAATTCAAGTTCAATTTGTCTACCCGAAGTTTTTTTATTTTGAGGACATTTTCTATTGAGAGAGGCGATAGTATTCTAAATTCACACACACTATACGGATGTTAGGACTCAAACCTAGAACCTTGACTAAAGAAGAATACTACAAACCACTACACTAATGGGTCCTTTGCATTTCCCCGAAATTAAGCTAGAATAATATAGAATATTTCTTGTGTTTTTTTGTATAAAAAAAAGTATCATTGTGTTGACTCTTGCAACTTGAGGCAATGCCCAAGTGAAAAGAAATCAAGGTTTGCGGATTTTGTTTTCTTTTGCATTTTTGGACATAGCAGCTTGGAGGAGAGTGTGAAGTCCTTGGTTTATGAATTCGATCGATGATGGGCAGCTTTTTTATGTCTTGATGAGTTTGGACTCCTTGTAGGTAAATCAACTCAAGAATTCCACTTGACTTTGATCACAACAAGTGGCTCAAATGGTGGTTACATACATTGCATAATAAATAAATAAAAGGAACTATAATTATCAAATGGATTGATTTGAAAATTAGGTTACTTTCCACTCTAGGAGTTCTTTTTTTAAACAATTATGTGGAGCCGGGGTTTCTAATCACATTTACATTGCATGTAACGTGTGCGGTTTGAACAAAATCCACACACGTTTTGTGCACAAATAAAATTGAACCCTTGATTAACTAGTGCAAATATATAAAAAAGAAAAACTAATTAGTCTAGGTAGGATAAATGTGAATGAAAAGAAATTAAGTAGCTATACCCCTTAGAACCTGATTACCTAGTGAGGTTGTAATCTGACTTAGTGCTAATTAGTCCAATCCTGTCCTAGTCGGGTCTACCAAACGTCATCTTAATAAGCTTGATTTTGAGGTTATAACCCTTATAATTGGGAGTTCTAGATTAAATTACGTAAATCCTATTGAACCTATATATATATATATATATTATATAATTAAGCAAATGCATATTGAACTTGCCAAATTCTATATATAGGATTATAAAAATATTCTATATATGTGTCACACATAGCCAAGAAGGACGGTGAAGATAAAAAAATATAGTTGGGAATGAGAGCATAAGCTGACACATTTGTCACACATAGCCGAATTCCATGACTACTATAATTAGTTGACATTTTATAATGATGTTTAGAATAAATATTCCGTGGCCTTAATTAGCTGCAAACCCGCGTTCTAGCTACTTCTATCTAACCAAATTGTGTGTGTTTATATTGCCTTATAGCTAAAGTCTCTCCAGATTCACCAATATTGTCCCCTTGTGTGCTGGCCTTTGTTTGCCTTATAGTATTAGAGAATCTATTGTTTGCACAAACACAATGTATCGGTCGATCGATCAGCTCTTCCCTTTGTCACTTTTTATATATATTTTCTGTTTATGTTTTCGACCGGACCGGTTCGGGTGCTTGGGATGATTAGGAGAATCCATGTATCTTAATTACAAAGGTGGCAAGTTTTCAATCTCATCATCTCATATCACCCTCATAAATGGAAATGGTATTTTCTCTTATCTACTTAGCTTAATTAGCTAGGAGACTTGTAATTACCAGAAAATCTCTCTCCAGTCAAACAAATACTAAGGCTTTCCAATGTCAACCCCGTTCAAGCTTGATGACAAACAACGGGTTTAATTCAAGAAAACAACAAACAATTAATGCATGAAAACTTAAGGAAACAAATATATGTGCTCAGATATATATAGAATGGAAATCATGACTTCTACTCCAAGATCACTTTTTCATTCTCTCTCCATCTCCCCTAGAGAAACTTGGAACTTGTCTTGATACTAAGGCTGCTGCTGTCTAAAGTCTTTCTTTTTCTTAGAAGGGTCTGAACTCGAAGAAGAAGAAGAACCAAACGGCTGCTGCGCCATAGAAAAGCTTAAGGGATGTTGTTGTTGTACATGTTGATCTTGGTCTTCTTGTTGAGATGGTACGAAAAGCACTGAAGATGATGATGAAGATGTAGTAGTCGTAGCTGATAAAGTCTGGGAAACAAATGATCTTTCTCTCTCATAAAATGTACTTGGTAAAACATCATAACTTAGGTTCTCATAATTACCGCCTCGAAAATATTGTGCATATTGATCAGGTTGAGTAAAATGAACATTATTGGGATTTGCCTGCAGTTGATATTGATGATCAGAAAGAGGCTGATTGTGATGAGCCAATTCAGTTCTTTGACTCCCCCCAGCTGCTAAGTCTTGTGGACTACCAGTTGTTGTGAGGTAACCCAACTCAGTTCCTCCTTGAACTCTTTCTGGGAAATTAAGCTTAGCTTTGCTTCCTTTGAATCTCAAAGCTGCCGCATCATAAGCAAGTGCGGCAGCCTCGGCTGTTTCGAAGGTCCCAAGCCACACTCGGGCTGCCTTATTTGGATCACGAATCTCCGCCGCCCATTTTCCCCATGGTCTCTGCCTTACGCCTCTATAGTGCCTTCTCCTCACATTGCCTTCACAAAAATGTAATGTGGTTTGCCAGGTAAATTAGTAACTAAGCACTTTAATTAGGTACATTCAAATAGAAAGTAGATATGGTATAGGAATATTTTAGCACTCATGACATGAACATATATACATTTCTTTAAGATATGTGGTAGCTAGTATCCATCTCTTGTGAGAGGTGATCATCAATATCGGAATATTATTTGTACCATGTTAACTGAACACTTAGTGTATTATTGCCCTAATAGAGGCACGACTCACGTCTATTAGGGGATGATATGTACGCTAAATCCCATCAGTTAATATGACCAAAATAGTTCTTATTCTCAATATTATTAGCAAATGTAACATATGTATAGCATTGTTCATATGTTGTTATTGTGCACCAGATATGGCTAGAAACAGCTCGGGAAAAGCATTAGGAAACAAGTAGAACCATATGAATTACTTATTCATCAGAAAAATTATAGTGTAACCCATATTTATACTATCATTTCTAAAAGTTAAAATGAACCAAAAAGATTCAGAAATTGGAAAATGAAATTAAAATATATTGCAATCAACAATCATTAAAAAGATGCCCACCAAAAGAAGACAATCATTAAGATGGAAATGGAACCATTAATAGGGAACTTGCACAACAAACCCTAAATCCATCATAAGCGGAAATCCTGATTAGGGCACTTATTGAATATTTCTTGTGTTTTTTTGTATAAAAAAAAGTATCATTGTGTTGACTCTTGCAACTTGAGGCAATGCCCAAGTGAAAAGAAATCAAGGTTTGCGGATTTTGTTTTCTTTTGCATTTTTGGACATAGCAGCTTGGAGGAGAGTGTGAAGTCCTTGGTTTATGAATTCGATCGATGATGGGCAGCTTTTTTATGTCTTGATGAGTTTGGACTCCTTGTAGGTAAATCAACTCAAGAATTCCACTTGACTTTGATCACAACAAGTGGCTCAAATGGTGGTTACATACATTGCATAATAAATAAATAAAAGGAACTATAATTATCAAATGGATTGATTTGAAAATTAGGTTACTTTCCACTCTAGGAGTTCTTTTTTTAAACAATTATGTGGAGCCGGGGTTTCTAATCACATTTACATTGCATGTAACGTGTGCGGTTTGAACAAAATCCACACACGTTTTGTGCACAAATAAAATTGAACCCTTGATTAACTAGTGCAAATATATAAAAAAGAAAAACTAATTAGTCTAGGTAGGATAAATGTGAATGAAAAGAAATTAAGTAGCTATACCCCTTAGAACCTGATTACCTAGTGAGGTTGTAATCTGACTTAGTGCTAATTAGTCCAATCCTGTCCTAGTCGGGTCTACCAAACGTCATCTTAATAAGCTTGATTTTGAGGTTATAACCCTTATAATTGGGAGTTCTAGATTAAATTACGTAAATCCTATTGAACCTATATATATATATATATATTATATAATTAAGCAAATGCATATTGAACTTGCCAAATTCTATATATAGGATTATAAAAATATTCTATATATGTGTCACACATAGCCAAGAAGGACGGTGAAGATAAAAAAATATAGTTGGGAATGAGAGCATAAGCTGACACATTTGTCACACATAGCCGAATTCCATGACTACTATAATTAGTTGACATTTTATAATGATGTTTAGAATAAATATTCCGTGGCCTTAATTAGCTGCAAACCCGCGTTCTAGCTACTTCTATCTAACCAAATTGTGTGTGTTTATATTGCCTTATAGCTAAAGTCTCTCCAGATTCACCAATATTGTCCCCTTGTGTGCTGGCCTTTGTTTGCCTTATAGTATTAGAGAATCTATTGTTTGCACAAACACAATGTATCGGTCGATCGATCAGCTCTTCCCTTTGTCACTTTTTATATATATTTTCTGTTTATGTTTTCGACCGGACCGGTTCGGGTGCTTGGGATGATTAGGAGAATCCATGTATCTTAATTACAAAGGTGGCAAGTTTTCAATCTCATCATCTCATATCACCCTCATAAATGGAAATGGTATTTTCTCTTATCTACTTAGCTTAATTAGCTAGGAGACTTGTAATTACCAGAAAATCTCTCTCCAGTCAAACAAATACTAAGGCTTTCCAATGTCAACCCCGTTCAAGCTTGATGACAAACAACGGGTTTAATTCAAGAAAACAACAAACAATTAATGCATGAAAACTTAAGGAAACAAATATATGTGCTCAGATATATATAGAATGGAAATCATGACTTCTACTCCAAGATCACTTTTTCATTCTCTCTCCATCTCCCCTAGAGAAACTTGGAACTTGTCTTGATACTAAGGCTGCTGCTGTCTAAAGTCTTTCTTTTTCTTAGAAGGGTCTGAACTCGAAGAAGAAGAAGAACCAAACGGCTGCTGCGCCATAGAAAAGCTTAAGGGATGTTGTTGTTGTACATGTTGATCTTGGTCTTCTTGTTGAGATGGTACGAAAAGCACTGAAGATGATGATGAAGATGTAGTAGTCGTAGCTGATAAAGTCTGGGAAACAAATGATCTTTCTCTCTCATAAAATGTACTTGGTAAAACATCATAACTTAGGTTCTCATAATTACCGCCTCGAAAATATTGTGCATATTGATCAGGTTGAGTAAAATGAACATTATTGGGATTTGCCTGCAGTTGATATTGATGATCAGAAAGAGGCTGATTGTGATGAGCCAATTCAGTTCTTTGACTCCCCCCAGCTGCTAAGTCTTGTGGACTACCAGTTGTTGTGAGGTAACCCAACTCAGTTCCTCCTTGAACTCTTTCTGGGAAATTAAGCTTAGCTTTGCTTCCTTTGAATCTCAAAGCTGCCGCATCATAAGCAAGTGCGGCAGCCTCGGCTGTTTCGAAGGTCCCAAGCCACACTCGGGCTGCCTTATTTGGATCACGAATCTCCGCCGCCCATTTTCCCCATGGTCTCTGCCTTACGCCTCTATAGTGCCTTCTCCTCACATTGCCTTCACAAAAATGTAATGTGGTTTGCCAGGTAAATTAGTAACTAAGCACTTTAATTAGGTACATTCAAATAGAAAGTAGATATGGTATAGGAATATTTTAGCACTCATGACATGAACATATATACATTTCTTTAAGATATGTGGTAGCTAGTATCCATCTCTTGTGAGAGGTGATCATCAATATCGGAATATTATTTGTACCATGTTAACTGAACACTTAGTGTATTATTGCCCTAATAGAGGCACGACTCACGTCTATTAGGGGATGATATGTACGCTAAATCCCATCAGTTAATATGACCAAAATAGTTCTTATTCTCAATATTATTAGCAAATGTAACATATGTATAGCATTGTTCATATGTTGTTATTGTGCACCAGATATGGCTAGAAACAGCTCGGGAAAAGCATTAGGAAACAAGTAGAACCATATGAATTACTTATTCATCAGAAAAATTATAGTGTAACCCATATTTATACTATCATTTCTAAAAGTTAAAATGAACCAAAAAGATTCAGAAATTGGAAAATGAAATTAAAATATATTGTAATCAACAATCATTAATAAGATGCCCACCAAAAGAAGACAATCATTAAGATGGAAATGGAACCATTAGTAGGAAACTTGCACAACAAACCCTAAATCCATCATAAGCGGAAATCCTGATTAGGGCACTTAATCAATAATAAAGTAGCAAGCATGAAACGTGCTTAAGTACTAGCTATGTATATATGTAAAATCTTGGTCAACTGTCCACATATATAAAACCTTGATTTTGAGCAGCCTGCAGTTGAGGAGGTTGATCGTCATGCAATTCCATGGCGCTGGGCGGAGGGTTTACCAATGGCTCGGCCGGCACTTGAACCACTGGGGTTTGGTCAGTGATTCCAATCACTTGAGCTAGAGCTGAGACCATGGCAGACATCTCTTGCTGAGATCGAGCTGAGGAAAACGGCTCAAAGATTTGATGATCATCCGCTTTCTCCTCTGATTCATCACCAGGAAAGGGCCTCTTCCCATGCTTTCGATCCACTTTATGACCTTGTTGATACCCTTGATGAATATACAGATGAAGCTTTATGCTAAATCATCAATATTAATTATTGTTACTGCTAGCTAGCTAGAAACAAAGTATATATATATATTTCTTGTTTTTGTTGCACGTGCATAAATATGAATCAAGATCAAGAAGAGAGAAAGAAATGAAAGGACAGTAGCGAGGAGGAGGAGGGAGGAAGATGAAGAGGAGAGAGAGAGGTAGGGTTTGATACAGTCATATATACTTGTCCTGGCCTCCTTGGTGGTGTGAAATTTTCGAGCTGATATGTTGAAAAAGCATATGGTCCAACTTTAAGGCCTTCTATTGTGTCTCCCTTTTTCTTTTTGAACTATAAAGCTAGGCGTTTACTTTTGCGACCAAGGACTGCGCATAGCCTATCTCATCATTTTTCCATTTAAAATTCCAAACCAAACTACTATATAATATTATTTTACGCAATTTAATTGCTTTTCTTCTTTGACATACTCGATATGATCATCATGCATGATGGTGTCATTAACATGTTGATGGACTTATCCAAAGAAGAGAAAGAGGACTGAATAATATCTGCACACTGCATATGTCAAGCATGCATCATCATGCATGGAATGTGCAGTTATTCAACTATTGTATTGGCATTTGGCATGCATTTTCATGCTCATTTGGTTTTCTGTCATATGGGGTTATAAAAGCTCAACTAGTTGCTTCAGTGTAAAGCCGATATTTTATTTTAATTTAATTTTAAATTACGGAGATGAGGATTCAAACTCAAGTGCAGAATGAGAAGCACACTCGCTCTAATCAACTTGGCGAAGTCCATGTTTGCTTTGCTTGAGGTTTTTAAATGCGGCAAAAGGCTATAAACTACCACGACGACTTAAATACTGCATGCAAAGACACGTAAATTGATTTCGACCTCAAATTATATATACCAAAAACCAAATATATGAATCAAGGTATAAAAAATTGAATAGAGTTGCGGCAATTGCCTAAGCACCCCCATATGCACTTTCTAGCATCTTAATTACTAATTAATTTGATTAAATAGTTGCCGAACTTGCTGTATCATTCAAGTCTTAATTATTACGAAAGTGGAAAAGGGATGAGGGTAGGTGTGCCGTGTTAAACTTGATTAGAGGTTTCGTATATTAACTCAAAGTACCTGTCCTGAGAAAAGAGCCTAGCCAATTTTAAAGACCAATCCAAGTTTTTCACATGATATGAATAGTTTATGTAAAGTGGCCCACTGACATGTAAGCCTCCATGGACTTTTTTCTTGCCCAAAAAACCCATGGACCTTAACAAATCATCAAGTCTCCCTAAAAAAAAGTTCAACAAATCTTGTTTAACTGGAGGTGTATCATATAAGTTTGATGCTGTGATTAGATCCTTTCGTGTTTGGTGTAGCCTCTTAGGGGCGTTTGTTTTAGCCCTTGGGCTCGTTTGGTACACCGTATTAGATTCTGGATAGGAGTAAATAGTCCATGTCAGGTGTTTGGTGTCATCTTATACTATTTAATCAACTGACTATTTTATATGGATTGGGCTTTTAATATTCCCATGACCTAATTAACTAATACAATCCACACATCTGGTTTAGATAATACACGCTTAATTATACGCTAAAAAGAAAACACGCTTTCGCGTTACTTTGTTCTTGGCACGAAGTTGTCTTTGTTTCCTGGCACGAAGCCCCCTTTCTCTTACCTCAAGCTTGTGGCACGAATCCCTAATTGATATTTTCTCTTTGATTTGCTCAAATTTTTTTGTTTGTTTGGCACGAAGCCCACTGCAATTGTGCAATTTCTATAGATTGAATGTTCTTGTTCATTGTTGATTGAATTTGTTTTTTGGTGGTTGCTATATGACATCTTCTTCATTCAAGATCAAGGATTTATTGGTATGCTTACTATTCGCTTGCAAGATGATAACTTCATTAAATGATGTTATCAATTTAAATAAGTGTTACAAGTTTATCATCTTTTTGGTTTCTTTGATGGATCTGTGTGTCCTGAAGCATTGTACAATGTACTGTTCACTTCAGATTGATAAATAATAGAAATTACGAAAGTTCATTTTATTGTTGCAATTTCTTGCTTTTGTTATTAGCATGCACCTCTGGTTTTTTTTTGGGTGTTTTTTTCTCAAATTTTTTATTTTTTCAAAGAATTTTCAATTTCCAAGTGCTTTTTTTGTTTGTTTTGAAAACCCATTATTGAGTAATTGAAATTAGTGTTTCAATTAATCTGATAATTTAGAAAGATGAGCTATCATGCGATAATGCCATAAAGGAATTCTCAAATTCTGTTGTGTGATATGTTATGTGTGATGCGATGTGTTGTTGATGATTTTCATCGAATACAAATAAAGGATTTGTTTTCTATGCCCACAGGTTATTGAGTGTTTTTGGCTTTTTTACGAGATTTTAGGTTGGGTTTGTTTTAAGAAATTAATGACAGTTTTGTAATTTAAACGAAGTTAAAAGCATTTTTGTTATGTTGTAAATGAGCTTTGTGTTTCTAAAGTCCATTTCATATAGGGTTTTTGTATAATTTGAACTCCTATATTAGGTATAATAGTGAATCTTCCTTAGTAATACTACACAAGTAAAGATGAAACCGAAAACCCTAATTAATACTCACGTATAAGAAGTAAATTTTGTTGATTTCTTCCTTTTTCTACCCCTTTTATAATGCAGTGACTTGATTTGGTTGTAATTTGACTTTTCAGTTTGAGCTTCAAACATATACGTACGTAATATATCACCTAAAGATTCGTACCATGTCGTTCTACAATTCCAATCCCTTAAACCATCGATGATGATAAAAGATACTTTCCAGATTTTCTAAGATATTCCGGATATGCATAATCAATTTCCTGATTATTCTCCTCTCTCCCACTCCCCTATAATTACTTTTCTTCCTTCCTTGTGTCTTTTACAGCGAATATATCAAGCATTGTATTCTAAAATTTCTAACCTAATCCTATAGCCCTCAAATTAGCTGAAGCTCTCCAATATTCTTCCCTTTCTTTAGCAGCTAGCCATGTCTGCAAAAGACGAAAGCTTTGGTAGCAGCTACCTCTCTTCTTTCGACGAAACCGACAATATCAAGATTACCAAGCCACACGTATTGAGATTTGCCCTGATCATGATATTTGTTTGCGGAATGATATTTAGCGACATTACAGAGATTCCCACCGCCCCGAAATTCGCCGTCGAGAATGCTTCTCTTAGCCAATTCAACTACACCAAAACCAACCACACTCTCTCCTACAAACTTGCCCTCAACATCACCATCACAAACCCCAAGAAGTACATCGGCCTCGAGTACAATGACATCCAAGTCATTGCATATTATGGAAAGACAAGGTTTGCTTTTGTGACTTTGGTGAACGAAACGGCATCGTTTTACCAAAACCCTAATACCACAGTCAGCTTTGAGAATGTGTCTGTTCAAGGGCAGAAGTTGGTGCTGTTTGCGGAATCTGATTTTAACAAGTATAGTTTGGGGACCGCTGCCGGCGTTTACAGTGTTGACCTTTTGTTTGCTTTCAAGGAAACGTTCGTCTCCGGCAATGCCATCTGCAATCTAAAGCTTCCTTTGGGTTTTAATGGAACAGCCGCGCCTGGTTTCCAGACTACAAAGTGCTGGGAGACGCTATTATTAATTCTCTCTTTGTAGAAGTTATGTTTTTTTTTTAATGACAAATATATTCAAGATAGTTGATTTGCTGACATCCTTAAAAGTTCATGATAAGCCCATTAAAAGACATTACTGTTTGGCGAGACACATAGTTCTAATGCCATGAAACATACAAATTTGCAACGGGATAAACAAAATTCGGAAAGGAAAAAATAAACAGATTATGCAGCATTTTGAACACTTCATAGAGATTCCATTTCGAAAAGATGTAAATACTTGTATTTCTATTCTGAAACTGTTCTTCACATCTTTCTCCAATTGTTGATTTTGAAAGATAACCCAGTCGCCTAAAGCCAAAACTCTGGCTTCTTCGTGTTTAGAGCCTCTAATTGTAGAGCCCTAGCCTGGTAAAGAAAAGCCGCGGACACTTAAATTGGGCTGTCTCACCAAGGCCACGAGGACTGTGCAGCTGCAGCCATCCCAACTCGAACGTGATGATGCAACATAGAATTGTTTTTCTTCATGATAAAACCACATTTGAATTTCAATGCAGCCAAAAAGGGGGAAAAAACAGCAAAAAATATTCAGGCTCATACTGCGTGAGGATCAAAGGATGATATTGATCTTCATATGTACAGTTCTTTACATGATCACAAAATTGGTTTGACGTCTCTGGATCGCATGTAAGTCAGAAATTGAGAAGGTAGTTCTGCTAGAAGTGCCTGAACAACAGAAATTTCTCCACCTGCAAATCAAAGCAAAGTTACTGCCCGCCTAGAAAGAATTGCTAAAGCCACTACGCAAAGTTGGTTTGCCAGAAATGATGAGAGCACATAAAAAGACTCACTTTGTACATCTCGGAATGGAACAAACTGAACTATATCACGTGAAGCCACACGTCCAGTCGAACTTTCAAGTCTCTCACCCTTGTCAGCATCCAAAATCTTTACAACAAAAGTGGAGATAGTAAGTTGTAGCATTCAGGCTTTTATTCAGAGTATTGACTTTGCAATCAAAACAATCGGTACTGTAACACAAGACATTCCAGCATTACAAACACAAGGGAATGAGATACCTCCATTTCTTTGAAGTCAGCTCCTCCTACTCCAACAATGAGGATTGACAATGGCAGGTCAGATGCTTTCACAAGGGCATCTTTGGTTTCTTGGAGATCTGTCACTACTCCATCCTACGGCAGTGAAATTTTAGAACAAAGTTGAAGTAAACTAAAAGAACTTCAGAGATATATAAAAGTACTAAAAGAACTTCAGAGATATATAAAAGTACTAAAAGAACTTCAGATATATATAATACAAGTACTAAAAGAACTAGAAGATTACCAATTGAACAGTCTTGCTCAACTAAAGTCTAAAAGAAGTTCAGAGACACATAGGATAACAGAATCAACCCCGTTTATGCTTACCGTGATTATTAACAAAACAAAGTATTTTCGTCCACCATTTGCAACAGACTGGCTGGCATTTAATGCAGCATTGGTAATTACAGGTCCAAAAAGAGTTGGTCCTGCAAGAGAAACATTTTGGAGGGCACTTGTATATGCCATCATGATTCCTTGGATTCCTTCAACCTGAAAGAAGTAGATTTACACAATCCTTAATACAGAGAAAGAAGCTACAAAGTTTAAGATAACAAAAGCAAGTTCTGGTCATAAACTATTTCACCTCACAGTAATGACTACTCCCATTCAAGTTGAAACAATGATTTACTGGACCATCAATTGGTCGGGCTCCAAATCCCCAGGCAGGAAAGCGCTTGTCTGAATCATAAAACTGCAACACCTCCACAACATCGATGATTGCCTGGAAAACAATGTCACAATCATATGGGTCTGAATAAAGGAATAATTTGTGAAAATTATAATAAAGGGACCTAATTCTCACTTTCTGGTATGCATTTGGCCGTCCTGAAGGATCTATATAATGCAAAGAATCAGGCAGGCGAGGATTTCCATTTGAAGCTGATAACCAAGGAATATGAGTGAATTTGATAAGACAATTTAGCATGTATTATACGATTAATTCTGAACAAGTTTGCATTTATAAGAGGGAAAGAATGCGAAGTTCAAAATAATAAGCTATAACAATGCTTTCCTATATATACTATAGCAAACAACTTTGCAACCATGATCTAGAAATATTTGCAAGACTCAACATCTAGTGACAATCACTTCTATCATATAATTGAACAATGAACTACGAAGATATATTTCTCAAGCCAAAGGAAGCATCTAGTTGCACTCATAATTTTTAAGAAAAAATGTTTGAAGTAACAAATACATGCACATAAGCACCTGTAAAATCAACAGCGACCATGAAGTTCAATTCACAGCCCCCAGCCAAATAATCAAGGAAGGTGTGCTGGACGCTCTCCGTAAACTTGTCCACAAATAGTTGGCTCTTTAGTATCTGCAATGAAGTCCCGAGAACTTGTAAATTAAGAGAGATTGGGATGGAAATTCACTTAAAAATATATTATGTTACTATATTACCTTGTTTTGGTAATCATGCCCAACAGTGGTTGGTAAAAATAAATTCTCTCCTTGCCCAATAGCATGAAGCTTTTCCAAGTCTGCCAGTGATTTCTGAATTTTGCTGTTTATTCAACAATAAAAGCACAGTAATGTTAAAAAAACAAAAACAAAAATCCATAGGAATTAGGGAACAAGATGGAAGAAATAGATATTTATTTACCCAATCAAATCATGCTTGCCATTGTTATTGAAATTAAAACACTCCATTATCAATGGGCTATCCTGCAGATTAATAAGAAAACTTAAAATGAGAAAGCTATTAGAAACAAAAGGAGAAGCACAATATGATCAAGTTATCAATAACAGATGAAGAAGCATTGCTTCTTATCACAAATACCCACATACATCTTTACTGATGGAATTTGCATGTTAAACCACATGGTTACTAAGATGGAGCTCTCAGTGTCAGCATATTTTTATAGTGACAGTAGCCACATTATGGACAAATTAAGTTATCAAATTAAACAACCAAAATCTTTGACTTTCCATGGGAACTAAATGAACAAAGCATTCTGTGACCCAAAAAAAAGGGCAAAGCATTCATAGACCCAGCAAACTCGATCTCCACTAATTCAGACTTATTCTGGCACCAAAAAGAAACTTGTTTATACCTTGCTTCCAACTTGTTGAATATTTAAATATATTGGTTTCCATGCGGGTTTGAGCTCATTCTTTATGACTTCTGTTTTGCAAACTGGAATTGCGGTCCCACTCTCCGTAAGTTTTGATATTATCAAAAAAGGGTCCTGTAAGACAAATCAGAACATGTGTCAAAATATAAACCATTTTCCATTTGGCCAAGCATGCATATATCTAGTAATGCTCACAAATATAGATAACCAAAAAGAAAGAAAGAATAACTCCACAGCCCCTACACTTTTTGAGAAGAGATCCTTGTATTCCAAATCTGAACACCTTAAACTCATCTCTACCGTTGTCTTTGAGCTAACAGATTCCTCAGCATGCACGATGAGCTTTCCACGGTCTCGATGACGATTGGATCTGCTTGACTCTGAGTCTTCTCTATATACAAGATCGAGGGTTAATAACCTGTCTGATTTAGGAACTATCTGCACAGGTAGAAAGACGAATTAAAGGGTAAAAGCATCAGATTTCAGAGCTTCAGGTATAGTCCTTGTCGAATAAATAATTTCCACTAACGTATCTTGGTAAACCAGATACACTAGAAAGATGAACTAAAATACTTCTCAGATTAGAGAGATCTAGACTTTCATCACATGCTGAGAGCTTCTCTCTCTCCCTCTCTCTCATTATATTATATATATTGTGTTGTAATGTGTCTGAGAGATGAAGCTCAGCTAAAGCACCAAAAGTAGAAGACCTTTTCTATTCTTTGATTTGATGCATCAGGTTTAGGTCGGCCCACTTTTGCAGAGGCAACAAAACCTCTATTCTGTACCCACTTAGGAGTCTGGAGTTAGCTGGGTTCAAGTAGGTTTTGCGCATATTGGTCAACTTTGGAAGTCTTGATAGAATATCATAGATGTTCCTATTGTTTAATGGTCACTATGTCGTACCTGAGACAGTGCACAGGTTGCCTCACCAAGAAATTGTTGCTCTTCCAACCTAAGCATCTGCACAAGTAAAACCATCCATTATGAACTTGTTATGCTTGCACGCACCTGACTTAAAGTAAGATGTGGAAACTCCTTGTGTTAACTTGAACGATAATGTGAAGTTACCAATACAGAACACTAAAAGCAAAAAGAAAAACAAGAAAGTTTCCCTCAACAATCAATTTCCATTTGATTTGGCTTTTTGCCAAACAAAAAAATAATCATATTTGTCTTGCCACAAAGAGAGTTTCAGAGGACAACAGGATGATCCAGAACTCTAGCTTAAGAACAGGAATAACTATATGCAGGCCATCATAAAATTTTGTACCTTCACGTCTACATTGTGAAACTGAGTGTCAACGTCATACACACGAAACCTGTGATGAAAAATATACCACATGATACATAATTGTGAAACTGAAAACATGTTTTCTGGATTGAAAAAGAGATAAAAGCTTTAAACTTACACCAGAGTCTGCACAACCTCAAAATGATAAGTGATATTATGTTTTGTGATCCACTTTGGATTTAATGAATTTAGAACTACTTCAGTGCGACCAAGCTCTGAAAGTCCTCCATCTCTTCCTTTTGTATAAATAACCACCATGGGATCACTCTATAGAAAATAAAATTCATGAATAACAGACTGACATTCCTGAAACAAAAGAAAGATTTACACAACTAAAATATGGAGCATGAGAGCAAAGCAAAAAGAACTACCATTAACATGATAGAAGAAAAAGAACTTTGAGAACTACATCAGGAGTATGAAATAGGGCAAATAAAAGGGGTCTTAGCACTGAAAATAAATCAGGATTGCTACATCCATAACTTAATCCTGAAAATAGCTACAGTAGCAGTCAAATGAAGTGTTCATCTTCAGGTAGAAAGTGTGAGTTACAAATCTTACCATCAGGTTTTAACTTCAAAAACAGTTCATTTAAGCATAATACACGTTGTATAACACGACTACATGAGTAAATCAACTTTGTGAATCAATAAATTGCGAACAAGAGCACGACGAAAGTAAAGGAAACCATTCAAACATCAATTATCCAAACTAGCCTAGGCTATGGATTTAATAGCAGAAAACTGCAAGTAATGGTTCCTCATATTCAATGTAGAGCGACAAACCTTGGAGAGCACGTCCCGATCGAGCAAGTCTATTGCAGCAAACGATAACTGCATGTGAATTGTTGGAAAAGAGACAAAATCAGAAATTATAGAGCTCAAATGGGGGCTTTAACTACTAAAAAAATCCTAGAATTGCAGTAGCTTCAGCTGCAATAGGTTTCTTGAAATGAATATCACATTTCAAATGATTTTAATTATTTATGAATCCAAGCGCACAATCAAAATTTAGCTTTAGAGAGTTCAAGTTCTACAGAAAAATGCAATTTCGAACAAAGGATCCCACCAAATGGCGTCGGATTTAAGCTCAACTGAAAGTCCAATCCAAATTGCTAATTGCTAAAGAAGACAGTTACAGAAATAAATGGCTCACAAAAAATTCAACAGAAAGAAGTAACCTCGATCTGAGAGAAGAGGCCGTTGTAGCCGCGATTCCTAAGGAACAAATCGACGGCGTCGTTTGGACCGTCGTACGGATTTCCGTGAGCACCGGCGGTGCCACCCACCGCCGACATCCCACCGGTGTCGTTAGAGAAGCAGTTACCCATTCCGAAAAAGACTCAACTCGACTCTACCCTTGCAATTCGGGTTGGAAAACTGAGTTCAGCTCGACTTCCTCCTCCGCCAGTCAACTTCACCCTCCTCGGCTCTGCTAACTCTTAACTTGCTTTGTATTTTTCTCTCTCTTTATATATTATTTCTATTTACAATAAAATCTCAAGCTCTCAATCAATTTGATCGATTAGAGGAAAAACGAAATAGAAATTGGAAATTAAACGAAACGCCAACTTAATTTAAACTCTCTAATTAAATCTCCAGTCTACCACGCTCTACCAACTTAATCAACTTCCCTCTGAAAATATTATTCTATTCATGCATGGCCCCACCTATCTCTCTTGAGTGTAAGAAAACTGACACAGTATCTTAATCAAGGGATCTAATTCACGTCTGCATATAACTTATAAGTGATATTTTAAACTCTAAAAGTATTATTAGAGTTGATTAAGAAAAAACGCGTTTTGCTTTAGAATAGATGAGAATTAGTTGAATCAGTGCAAAGAGAAACAAATGACGATTAGTTGAAGAAACCGCGTTTTTCTGTTGTTTTCTTTACAAGGGACTGCAAATTTCCTATGGAGACGAAAAAAGGGGGGCTTGTGACTGCTGCTGTCGTTTTTCTTTTCCTTGAAATGGAAAGTAGTCTTGCTCTTTGAACCGTCTAGGAAGTTGCCCCATCAGATGTTCCACAATTGGAAAAACGTTGGTATTATTGATATTAATAATTTAGCTCAAATTATAATAATACAACAACACACGTGTTGTTATCGTCACACACAATCGAGAAATTTAACATTCGAGTTATTTCTGTATGACATTATTGAACCAAGTAAAATGTACTTAATATGTTTAATTATTAGGACTAGTTTGAAATTATTAGGACTAGTTAGAAATTATTATGATTTTTAAAAGAAAGGAAACACAAAAACAGAAAAGTTAGAAAACACGGAGTACTTAACAGTCACACACAGCTATGACCCTTGAGAATCCACCCACTCCATTGTCCAACTTTTCATTATTTGCCTTTTCTTTTGGGTTGCTGCGATTTTACCTGTCTTTTACTTTGGAAAAACCCGCCTCAACGTTGTACACACCCTAATGTTATTTCTCATATTCCAATTATAGAATATGTCTCGAATTCGAATCTTCTCTGCATATAGCATCGTATGTTGAGAATTTGGATCTTCGGATACATCACATGGGATGTTTGCCACTTGTGGGATTTTGATTATATTAATTTGGATGTTTTGCAGTTAAAGCTCTTGAACTTTAGATTAATTACGAAATTAAGTGCAAAAAAAAAACTGGCATTTTAAATGGGTTCTTAGTATGGTTTTTCGAATATATTATCTATGTAATCATGGTTTCCAATATAGAAATATAAATATAATGGTAGCTTAGTTTCTTTAAGGACACATCACTGTGTTAGCATATGATGAAATTGAACAGAAATATAATTAGTCAATAAGCAAAACTAATTAAAAGAATTCTGTGCTGCAAATGGAAGTCAATAAAACGACATGTTGCTTTCTCTCCATATAATTATGCAGAGAAAAAGAAAGGCAGAGAGAGAGACCGAGCAAAGCAGACATGGCCAATTAAAGTGAATAGCTCATGTTGGCATGCATGGCTGTTTAAAGGTTCATAATAATAATAATTGCATGCCCATTTATTGTAATAATAATGTGTACCAGCTATAAAAACAAATAAAAAGTACCCAAAAACAAAACATATATAATGGCATTGATTGACGTAGCAGAAATCTTTCTGGCTCATTTCAGCCTGGAATTGGATTCGCATGATCCAAGGTAGGCATTGCCTTTACTTTCCACTTTCTTTAATCCTTTCAAATCAAGATGAACTCATGCCCCGACATCTTTATAGTTTATCTGTTTCATGATATATATATATATGTATTATTTTATATGTCGTGATATATATGTATTCTTTCTCGTTTTATAATATATATGTATTATTTTATGCGTCGTGATATATGTATCATTTTGTAGGTCTTTCTCATTAACGATAAACATACATGAATTTCATATCTATGAATTGTGTCAATAATTTAACAAAAAAGAATAAGTGGGAAATCCCCGTCAATTGTCATAACAAAGCGTGGTGGTGACATTCCTAGCTGAGCTAGAATGTCATGGAGTCAACGAGCATTGAGGTCAACCACTAGATATAGACCATGTAATGTATGGTAGAGAGAGAGAGAGAGAGAGATGCATGCGAAAACACTTCTTCCTCTAGCTACAGCATGGTTCATTTCGTTTTGGTTCCCTTGAGACAGACTAGAGTGAGGCGAGCAGGTCCCAGCCTTCAACACTTGCTTGCTCTCTTGACAACAATCACTGGCAATACAATTGGATAAGTCTTGGTCAAGGTCAAGGTCAAGGTCAAGGTCAACGTCCCACAATTCCAACTGACCCATGCTTGGAACTTTATTGATCTATCTTATGACCCACCCACCTATCATAGCAATGGAATGATACATAATCATATAAATGAAGCAATCAAAAGTGATTGAATATGACTCTCCCTCATGCTAATTGAAAATGATATGAAATAATGCTCTATTTTTAAAAGACCATTCTGCAAGCAAGGCCACAGCTGCCCTTGACCATTTTACACTGAGCTACTACAACACTACCAATGTATCATTCCTACCTACCTAGTAACTATTTATAACTCACTAGAATATTGTTTTAAGCTCACAACATAAACTAAATATAGGTGAAGTCATAAAAAGACCAAGCATTTCTTTGCAAAAGATTCATGCTCAATTTCCAGCATGTTTGAGATCAACAATTTGTCTATCAGCTCTATGTTGGGCTGGCCCCTGTTCAGGAATTCGACAACGGCATCGGAACTGTCCCTGCTGCAAGCCCAGGCTGTTATGATGTGAAGGTATGTTGTTGTATAGATGGTGGAGCATGTGGGGCTGGAGGCACTTGGTGGAGATTGTGGTGTTCAGCAGCATTCTCCTGCTGTAAAATAGTTTCCCTATCCGTCTGCAGAGGTGACTGATTGTAACCATGCCCGAAGCCTGTGTGTTGATCAGTAGGAACCCTGTCCTGTGCAGCCTCATACCTGTAATAGCTGCAACACAATGACCTTGATTATTTAAGTCCAATAAATAACAAAGATAAGTCAAAAGAAACAAATTTAAAAGATATTGCACAGTTCAGCTAGAAAGGGGGCAGTGGCATAGTTTTCCATTTAACCAATCAAATATAACATTTCCCAAATGACCTAATATATTTTTATTTCTTTCTAGGGACAGTCACCCAAATCTTCACTTCTTCAGTTAATGTGACTTCCCAAAAGGGTACTCTTTGCCTAGCATTTTGGTTTAGGAAGGCAGTTGCTTGGTGGAGCATGGAAAATTCCAAGTTTCCAAAAATGAAGCTAATATAATCAAAATCAAGCTACCACGGGAAGAGTACCTTTCATATGATTTGGGTGCTGGCTGGGCAGTTACTTCAGCCAAGTGATGCTGCCCAAATTCAGCAGAATAATATGTCTGAGTTGAAGCTGGCATAGCTTGTGGTTGCACAGCAGGATAAAAGTAGCCCATGTTCGTTGTGTATCCATAACTAACGTATTGTGGGTGTAGGACGCTCGGTTGAATATACTGAGGCTCCAACATTGGTGAAGAAAGACTGCCGTACGCCCAGGCTGCATTTGGATCCTTCATGGAAGGCAGGTTTGCTGAGGACTGAAACTGATCCTTCATAGGTTGAGCCGGCACTATTGGTTGTGAACCCACAGAATAATGGACAATACCCATGTTTCCTGTGGATCCACTACTATCCCACTGCTGATGGACTCCCTGTGGAACATGTTGAGGCACTAACACTTGTGGAGTGTAACTGGAATGCATTGAACTAAAGTATGTACTGCCTGAAGAAGGCACCCTTGCACTGGTCTGAAATTGATCCTTCATATAGGAACTGTCGTTTTGGGTGGATGATTGCATGGTAATAGGATGAAACAGTGATAACAAATGGCTTACCTGCACCATAAAATAAACTGAAAGGTAAGCACAGTCAACCAAATGACAACAATCCAATTGGTAAGGATGAAATTGAACTGATTCCACTTAGAAGAGAAACTTACTTGTTGGCTATTGAGAATTGTATTAAACTTATTGGAGCCTCTCTTGTAGTTATCTTGAATAGCATGTTTAAAATCACTCTCTGGCAAGGGGAGGCATTCCTTGTAAATTTTGAATCTCACCTATATACAAAACTCAAGTGAAAAAAATAAAAAAGCAGCCTAAAAGCTAATCAAGAAGGATGTAAGGTATCAAGTGAAGGAGAGAAAACTAAACTCACCTGTGCAGGAAAGTTTCCACCAAAAGCCGTTCTTTCCAAGTTCAACTTTCCAGCAGTGGTTGCTTCATATACCCCATAAAGAAACTTCACATTATAATCAAATAGAAATAGCTTCATGCCTGGCCTAATCTTCTCTATAACTTCCTTTCTTCCAGCGGGAAGTCCAAAGACACGGTGCAGGTAGCATTCTGGTTTTGTTCTTCCATTACACATAAATATATAACCAGAAAATTCTTCCAGACCCAGATGGTCCTTACGCAACCCTTGATCCTCAGCAGCATCTCTCCTTATGTTATCAGCAGGAGAAGAGACGTGGTCATACACACGATGTTGAGAGGCAGGAGCATGAAAATAGTTGGCATCTAAGTAGTTCACAGCCGGTCCTTCGTCTTCAAACACTTCATCTCTTACTCTGGTCATGTTGAAGACTAACAGAAATGTAGTAAGCCACCATTAGGTTATGTCAAACAAAGAAACAGAGTCAAAGAAGCTGAAACTAAAAGCTAGAGAAAGATGATTGGACATGGAAATCTAGCAAAAGAGAAAGCATGGGAAACTTTAAGAATGAAAAAACCAAATTAACAAGCCAACGCCTTGAATGAATGCTGGAGGGACAAACTAAATTGGCACAACACATTTCAAAATCTTACAACTCTCTAAATTTCTAAAATACTTCCTACCCTTCACCCAGAGTTCTAAAAGGTGTCACATTTCACTCTTATCTGCAGTACAATCTTCTGAATAAGGTAAGGAAGATGTTATCATGGTTTTTTTTTTTCTTCCGAAATTTCGCTTGCATCTTCCCTTAAACCAAGCACCTATTTTTAACAATATCATGGTGTGAAATATCTCCAAGCCCATTTTTTTTAACTTTTATTTTCCTTATTTATGTTAGCTAGAGCTCAGGGACGACTGTCTAAAGAACATTACATGGTGATGGCCAAAACCCATTTCAACAAAATGCATCCTTTTCGTTGTTGATCACAAGTTCACAACTGAAAAAAACCAACAACAACAACAAAAATAAAAAACCTTTCACCCAAAAACAAAAACAATATAAACCCAAAACATTCTCTTTTTCAACAGAACTTCAAAATCCAGAACAAAATGGCATTTCGAAAGGCCAAAAAGAAAAGGAAAAAAAGAGCACCGACCTAGTTGGTAAATCAAACAATTATTAACAACAAAGTGAAATCGAAGAGCAACACAAAAATTGTACGATAAACCTCAGTGAAATGAAAAATGACACTCACCAAATGCCAAGGAGAGGACGAAGCTTAAAGCGTCTCTGTAAGTCACAAAATTTGCGTGTGTGAGGGGAGAGACGAGAAAGGCCAAGTTGCGAGACTAAACAAGCCACTACAGTCTACGTGTCACGTCGTCGGTTAAATATCATTTATGGGCTTCCCACCAAAATTATTTGTACTATTATTGTCACTAAAAAACTAATTGCATTATTTTATTTTATTTTCCTGTGGAAATTGTAATTATAGTAAAGTAAGATGCTCCTATAATTTATTTGGCTTATTTCTTGAAATACCGGTGCTTAATAAATTGTCTTAGTTTACCTCCTAACTTATATAATGGCTCAATTTCCCACTGAACTTCTTGAATTTCTATTTTGTGACCAAGGTTGCCTCAATCCATTAATTTTCAACAAAAAATCATTAACTCAGTTAATGTGGCATGAATAATCGAGTAATTTCATACACGTGACAAAAATTGATCAGAAAATGACATTCAATGTAGCAATTAGTGGGACTCATGAGAGCTTATGTAATACTAGGCTAGGATTTCAACATGTTAGATTTGGAGAAGGGCAAAAATTTGTTGAAAAATTATCAAAAAAGTGACATTCAGCTAAGTTAACGATTTTTCGTTGGCATTTCAAGTATTTTTCTTTGTAGTACTATTATATGCTTTATGCTTAACTTTTCCCCCATGTTTTGTATCAATTATGGTACATTATAATTTATACATCCTTTTATTTTGCATGATTGATTGTGGTATAAATTTATAATTTATAATACAAAATAATTACTTTAAAAATAAATAAATAAACGCCTAGCGGGGCCCAATTACTATTCATGTATACTTTATACTGCCTGGATTTGATATATTTTATTGTTTTGTGTTCCTTCTTATAACCACTAATACAAGAAGTGCATTGCATTATTTTATTTTATTTTCCTGTGGAAATTGTAATTATAGTAAAGTAAGATGCTCCTATAATTTATTTGGCTTATTTATTGAAATACCGGTGGTTAATAAATTATCATAGTTTACCTCCTAACTTTTATAATGGCTCAATTTCCCACTAAACTTCTATTTTGTGAACAAGATTACCTCAATCCATTAGTTTTCAACAAAATCATTAACTTAGCTAATGTGTAATTCGTTTCGTCCAAATGGGTAATTCTTTCTCACTGAAGAATCCAGTCTATTTTATTTACAAGCAAGCAGAGGAGATTGACATGGTTAATGTATCTGAAATGATGCAAAGTAGTAATTAGCCGTCATCCCTCAAAGTTTTATTGGAGGAAGAAATTCGTATGAGGAGCCATGAGAGGCTTGAAAATGAAGATATGCAGCATCTACTTCGTATCTTTAACATGGGTGGTTATGGTTATGGACATGCCTCCATCTCCATGAACGTTACTGAAGAAAATTATCCTTATTTATTCCCCTCAGCATGACAGCATACATCCCCACTCCATCACCAGTGAACTACAATAGTATTGATGATGATCGCAGTCCTTCTTCATCTGGAAAAGCTGTTGTTGGCTGGCTCAAGCTCTCAAGGCAGCCCTTAGATGGGGCGTATTCATCAGAAAGAAGGCTGTTGAAAGACAGGCACAGCTGGTTCAGTTGGATGATTTATAAATATGACTTGTACGATGATCGGATTTTGGTGTCTTCCCCGCCTCCCTCATTTCTAAAAATTGGGCGCCTAGGCGCCGCTAGGCGGATCCCTTTTCTTTTCAAAATAAATAGTATAGCCGTGTGGCTATACTCTTTAAATATAAATATATTTTAAAAGTATAGCCTATACTGGGTTTTTTTTACCCAGTTTTTGTGTATCTATAAGAGTAGTTTAGAGCATTATCCAATACTGGCCATTACGCAAGTCTATTGTCCCCTTTTGATTTTTTACTTTTCCAGAGTTATTACCAATATAAAGAATTTAGCATTTTTCTGTTTAATACTCATATTATATACATAGGTATGTATTTTTCAATAATATTTCCGTTTTCTGTACACGTCTTAAAGACTCGGTAAAATACACATTTTTAAAAAAGCAAACATACAATATACATATTGTACATGTACATATGCATTTTTCATGTTTAATACACTTTTTTTTTACAAAATTTTAAATAATACAAATAAAATTCATGTATTATACACATAATTTTCACATATTATTGAATAAAAATAATATTATAATGTTGTTAATTTATTTTTTTTTGGTCTTAAACCATGAGGTAGTCCTGGATGAGCCCAACTATGGATGACACCTTTAAGCCTTAACCACAACCCAGACTAAGAAGCAGAAACCACCAGATCAAAGATGAAGGCAACTGCTTTACTTAAATCCACTAGCTGCAAATCTTTCATTTCCCCAAAACAAAATTTCATCCAATACATCCCCCATTAGTAATATCGTTTTCCTCAAAAAATTACATACAATTCCCAACATCTCATCAGCATTTTTCTGCTTGATTCTTACAAACTGCCCTACAAAGATTTGTTACTCTTGAAAACAAGTAACAGATCTTCTTACACCGACCTAAAATGAGGAACACAAAAAGTACCATTTTCTTTCTAAGGGCTAGCAGCTGTTGGCTGGACGTTCAATCTGCTACATGGTTTTGTGTAAACCAATGTTCAGATCAGAAGATATAGAAATGAGAAGGGGGCAAGAGTGGAGCCATACAGCTTTAAAAACCCGTTTCTGATGAGCTCTTATAGATTGAGAAGGCTTATGGGCGTGATATCTGATATCAAATATGTGAATCATGGGATCTGCGGTACCGGATGAGATATATAAACCATCTGGAGACCAAGCCTGATTTATCAGAGCTGACTGAGATTCACTGCTTTCTTGCTTCCACCCAAAAGCATGTATTTCTGTTTGCCTCAGTCTGATATCAAATAGTCGGAGCTGCTTCTCATGGGTCCTGCATATAAAAAATGTTAACATTACAATCTTTAAAATAGTAGAAGGATATTAGAAAACGTAACCGAAGAAAATCCCTTCAACATAAATGTATGATTAGCTCAACTAGCCAAGGGTTTTACAAAATGCTATGACGGTTAATAATACACGTCAAAAACCATGAGGCATCTTAACAAATAATATGATTCAGCATGCAAATGCATAAAGTGAACAAAACGGGATTCAATTCCAGGAGCGCTAACAAGGCAACTATCCAGAGAGCACGTGTTGATGAAAAGAACATTCTAGCTGCAAAAATCAGTGTTTCTCACCCTGCTTGAACCATGAAGAGATTAAAGTCACAGGGATTTGGCAAGACACTCATGCATTTACTTTCTATCTGATGCTTGAACTCTGCTCTTCCCACGTTAGCATCAAACCCAACAATTCTCTTGTCTGCTCCAGCGGATAGTATTATCTGCTTTTGGCACATCCCAGCAACTCCCATGACAGCAGATGAATGCATATTCCTATGCAATGCCTTTGGTTTCCATACATTCTCAGCATCAGTCTCTTTCCAGATTATAACAGCATGATCACTTCCACCAGTGACAAAACAGGTATTCTCCCAGGGTGGGAAAACTATGCTGTTAATGATCCCTTTCACATGAGGTTTATCTTCTAAGAAAGTAACACGAGCTTTCTGTCAGTGCACAAAAGGACAAGAATCAGAGGTGAAATTATCTAAAAGCGGTACCACACTTCTATATATGCCTGTTCTATATTTGTGTACCCAGGAGCACAAGAAATGCTGCTCAAGCCCCAGTGTAACCCACACACAATTGCAACAATTAATTTCAAAAGCGGCCCTTACCCCTTGTGTCCTATTTAGATTTAAAACTGATACTTGAGAATCACCACTATCAGCACTATAGACAGAAAATAGGCTGTTTCCCTCAGGATGCCAGGCTATATCTTCTGGCCATCTCCTTTGTTTTGGGGATACACAATCAGTACTACTAAGTAGAGAAGCACCTGACCTGCAATTACAAGAAACAAACGGATACATCAATCAGTTATGCAAAGTAGAAGCCCAAGCCTACAAATTCAAGAACAAAAGTGAACAGCAGAAGTGGATAAGCAACTTTATATTTCAGAACTGGAGATGAGAAATTGAAACTGCAACAATCAATACAACCAGAGGTCATAATATAATCATAGTTTTGCCTTTCTAAACACACCAACGAATAGCAGCCACACAGATACCAACACCAGTTTTTGAACCCACTCCCCAAAGAAAAAGAAAAGGTTGAAAAATGGACTGTAATAGGCCTGGAGATTGAGCAACATAATTTTCTTCCCTTTAAAATGCTACCGACCACAAAATGTGAAGTTAAGAAATTAATAATGTAACAGGAAGAGATTTGGACTTTACCCCTTGGCCTGAACTTGCCACAAGTTGACTATTCCATCTAAAGCACTGCAAACAAAACACTTGTCAAAATTAATCATATGTTTGCTAGCATTTGATGCATTTTATAGTTACTAGTTGTAGGAAAAAATAAGAAATTCCAAGCTTTCTTTTACACGTCAAGTTCAAGTATAGTGTCATTGCCTCTTTTTCAGCTGCTTACCAAATCATGTTACCAAAAAGAACAGTCATTCCTTTCTTTCTCTTAATAACTTTAAAATTTTAGGATAATGTCGTTTAACAGAGCACACAAAAATATTACCAACTTATGACTAAGAAAGACCGATGCATAATTCCAAAGCAGTGGCATATCTAAATGCAGTTTCCTGAACTGAAAGGCAAAGAAGGAAGAAAGGTACGAGATATTTTGAGATTTGGATATGTTGCTTACAGAGTTAAAGTTAGAGGCCTATTCTCACTCAGATATCATTTGATTTTGATGATAAGCCAAAAATGCAACTATTCTAATTAGGGACATATACTTCTTCCTGATACAGCAAACATGTTAATTACCTGGTCACAAAAAGCTGATCATTCACTGGGCACAAAGAAAGACTTCTCAACTTTCTCTTGTGCTGACTCGATATGTGATTGCTTGCATAGCACCGGATTATACTTGGTGAAGAGCTAGTACGAACCAACGGAATTAATTCTTTATGTTCTTTCTGTTCTGAAATACAAACAACTTTCCCATCACAAA